TGGGAAGTGCATCACTTAGATGTAAAAACAGCATTCTTGCATGGAGAATTAAAAGAGACTGTGTTTGTCTCGCAACCAGAAGGATTCATAGAAGAAGAAAAGAAGGATAAGGTATACAAACTTAACAAAGCACTCTATGGGCTAAGACAAGCACCAAGAGCGTGGAATAACAAATTAAACCAGATCCTACAAGGGCTAGGCTTTGTGAAATGCTCCAAAGAACCCTCCCTGTATCGAAAGAAAAAGGATGAATGCCTTCTGGTTGTGGCTGTATACGTTGATGATTTGCTAGTTACAGGGTCTAATTCAGAACAGATCAGTGAATTCAAGAAAGGAATGTCTGCAACTTTTGAGATGAGTGACCTAGGCCTGTTAACTTACTATCTTGGCATAGAGGTATTTCAACATGAAAATGGAATTACTATGAAGCAGGGAAGATATGCAGAGAAAATACTAGAAGAAGCCAAGATGAGTGAATGTAATGCAGTTCATATACCAATGAATGCTGGCTTAAAGTTGTCAAAAGCAGAGGAAGAGAAGAGTGTGGATGAGAAGGAGTTTAGAAGAATCATTGGATGTCTTAGGTATCTACTTCATACACGACCTGACCTCTCCTTTAGTGTTGGTGTGATAAGTAGGTATCTACAAGAACCAAAAGAATCCCACAAAGCTGCTTTAAAACAAGTACTCAGGTACTTAAAAGGCACTCTGACGTATGGTCTCTCATTCACTCGGGGAACTCAACAAGGCTTAGTAGGGTATAGTGATAGTAGTCACAATGTCGATGAGGATGATGGTAAGAGTACAACAGGACACATATTTTACCTTGGAGATTGCCCTATTACTTGGTGTACAAAGAAACAAGATACAGTGGCATTGTCGTCTTGTGAGGCCGAGTTTATGGCTGCTACTGAGGCTGCCAAACAAGCCATTTGGCTCCAAGACCTCTTGGAAGAAGTAACCGGAGAGAAAAGTGGAAAAGTAAAGCTCTTAATCGATAACAAATCCGCAATTGCCTTAGCCAAGAACCCGGTTTTCCATGGAAGAAGTAAGCACATTCACAAAAGATATCACTTTATACGAGAATGTGTAGAGAATGAATTGGTGGATGTAGAACATGTTCCGGGAGATGAGCAAAAAGCCGACATCTTAACTAAGGCACTTGGACGTGTTAAATACAAAGAGATGAGGGAGCTTGTAGGGATCCAAGATGTGACAAAAGGTGTTTTCAAACTTAAGGGAGTGAATGTTGGTGTAAGTTTGAAAGAAGACTAAGGAGATTAAAGGCTTGAGGCCCAAGGTATTATAAGACAAGTCGGTTTTATAATAAGAAGGATCTAGAAAGTTGTTTAGATCTAATCCTATTGTGTGTAAGTCGGTTTAAAGTCTCTATATAGAGGTACCAAGATGTGGTAACCCTATGTGTTTTTAGAGAGATTGAGATTGTGTATGCTTAGGGTTTTTGAGTTAGTTTTCCTTGAGCAATAAAGAAAAGGTGTTCTTTAGGTTACATAATCTTGTTCTTATATCTTTGTGTTTGATTCAATAGTTGTTGCGTTTGCTCGTCATTTTGGGTGATTAATTATTCGATTTTCTCATTAGATTTTATGGTTCTGGTTAATTACTATGTAACTATCTAAGATTTTGGTTGTTAATTATTTGTTATGTTTTCAGTTGCGTGCTCTGTCGGAAACGAGCAGCTTATCTTGCAGAAAAGAAGGTAACAGCTTTGATATTGGTTTTAAAATATTGGCCATTTATACGATTGAAGTCATTGAGTGATACATTTGAGTTTTTGTTAGGATGTTATGGATGCATCTGGTGTTGCTCTTGTTCTGATCGGACCGGGAAGTATCGATCAGGTAAGACATTTTGGAATACACAATTCTTTGAAAAAGTTCTCAGCTGCTGATTCTCAGGTTGTAACCATATCTATGCAGGCTAACACTTTTGTGGAGCAGACTAAGTTTAAAGGAGGTAAGTTTCTCATTTACCTTTTTGGTTACTAAAAAAACTAGGTGTGTTCTTCTTATGAGATGATCTAATAATCTGTTGTCAAATTTCTCTCAGAGGTCTATGCAGATCCAAACCACGCATCATACGAGGCGCTAGAGTTTGTTTCAGGGGTTACTGTGACATTTACCCCCAAAGTAAAGTGACTTCTACTTAGCATATTAATTAATTAGGTAACCAAAAATGTTCTGCTTTTGTGGTCTCAGTAGCTTTTGTGGTATTGTTCTAGGCTGCTCTGAAGATTATTGAGTCTTACATGGAAGGATACCGCCAAGACTGGAAACTCTCGTTTATGAAAGATACAGTAGAAAGAGGCGGCTGGTAATTTAAAGAGTATATGAATCATTTCTTCTGGTTAGAGATGCAATAACTTTCTGATTTTATTAACAATTGTCTCGGACCTTGTTTGTGTAGGCAACAAGGCGGAATCCTAGTTGCTGGCCCTGGAAAAGATAACATCTCTTACATACGCAAGGTAAGCTCATCGTCTAAAACTGTTTGTGAAACTAGCCTCAAATTTGCGAACCTGGTATACCGATCTTTTTTCAAACACATTGTCGTTTTCAACAAATTGTTTGCGGATTTCAGGACAAAGAAGCTGGAGATGACCCGCCTGTTGAAGAGATCCTAAAAGCGTGTTGCGCTTGAAGGAATCGCACTCGAAAAGAAGATTTTTTAAAAAACAGTACAAATTGAGAAACAACACTCTGCTATGCCCGGATACACGATGTAAAATCCATAAAACACCATTACCACACCAAACATAACGACCACACTTTACAAAAAAAAGGACAAGTCACTTCAACGAGGAAGCAATTGATAATGATTGCTTCTTGATTTTTGACGAATTATGAGTCGAGATCAGCGAAGGATAAGTGACGGACCTTGCGGTATATAGTCCTTGTAGGCAATGGGCTTAAACTTGGGAGGATCGTCGTGGCCGGTAATTTCCAGGAAAGGTCCAACGACCGTATCGTTGGTAGGCCTCACAAGAACCGGCCAAGACATTCTTGTTCTCTCCTTATCCACTGTCGTTTTATGCAACACACTCTTGTACCTTCCATTGCTCAGCCTCTGCAAATTCGTTACAAAGAATTCAAAAGAATATATATATTTCAAAAGTTTATGATATAAACACATCAAATGAAACATACTTGGATCTGATCGCCGATGATGACTATAACAGCAGATGGGATATTCTCGAGGTCGAACCAGTGATCGTCCTTGAACACTTGAAGTCCGGGAATCTCATTTGGTAGGATAAGTGTGAGCCCACTAACATCTGTGTGTGGATCCAATCCCTCGATCAAATCGGAATGTGGACACGGTGGATAGTAGTTGACAATCATCATATACTCACCGCTGATAACTTCCTTAATAGCCTCACCCCATAATCCTAACCCCTCTGATAACCACTCCATAATCTTCTCAGATAGCATCTTCACATGCTTTGTGTATTCCTCATTTGCTTCCCTGATTTGAAATCAATTAACAATGACTCAATGAGTAAATTCATACGTACTTTTAGATATTAGCTCTAGTGTCGTGCTTTGGCTCATATAGGCTATGGCGAATAAAAAATGTGGTCCAATATTTTTCCTTTTTCTAATAAATCATACATCAAATTCACATAATCGAATTAATTTTCTCTATAGATATAATAGCTGATACATTATTTCAACCTGTTTTGTGATATAGTGATAGAAGGTAAGACTATCAATTTCAATTTTTAAAATTTTCTTCTTGCATAAGCAACTAAAATCGGAATCCTAAGCAATATCCGATAATCGATTCAAGAGTTTGGATAACAACCTTCCATTGTTTACGAAAACTAAACACTTTCATTAGTCTATTGGTAACAATTTTCTTAGAACTTTTAGTTCAAAAATATCACATTTATTTCATTAATGTACCCTTATTAATAAAAAATATGTTAGGCACGTGGAGAAATTTTCATAAAAATAAGAAATAAAATCACATTATCATGTACTTTTAAAATAAAGAGCTCAAACACATTTTAAACTAAATACGTAAGCCTAGTTTTTTTTTAATCTGTGGCCTTATAAATCTGTGTGTTTTTTTTTGTGGCATTGGGCAAATGCCCTTCTCATAAACATATGATGCATGCTTCTGACTAGCTCATAGCTCATAAAATGAGATCTTTTCTCAACACAATTGACATATAATGAATGGATTGATTAGATTTGAAAGTACCTGTAATCTAGAGGATTCTTAGGCCAGTATTTGTAGTTCACTGACGACGGTGGCCAGATATTGTGAAATAGTTGATCGACCGTACCTGTTTTTCTTTCTAGATCTAACTCGTACCTCCTCGCGTATCCTTCACGTGAGTCATCTGGTTTCGCCACGGCATTCTTCTCCTCTTCGGAGAGCTCGAAGAATTGCCTACCAACATTCTGCAAACGTTGTATCACCTTCGTGGGGATCCCGTGATTGACCACCTGAAAAACTCCCCACTCTTCGCTCGCCTTCACCACCGCACGCGCTACTAGCTCTTGATCGGGATTGCTTAAGTCAACCACGGGTATGTGTGAAGACGGTATGTCTTGGTCTCTCTCAAGCACCATGTTGTCGGAAATAATGCCGGAGTTGGTGATAGACGATTCACTAGGGGACATTATTAGTGGGATAGTGGGAGTTGAGGCCGGTGTTGAGGGGTATATAAAATTATAAATCAATAATTGCGGCAATGCTAAATATATGCATGAGTGGTAGGTAACCAAAACCACACATGATAATTCCATGCTTGAATTAGTTAAAAACACAATATAAATTAATATCGTGAAGTCTCAACAAAATATGTCAGCTTTCCTATCACCATCCAACATTTTTTTAAGGTTAACAGGCCGGGTTAGTAATAGGCCCATCTGTTATGCACAAAAACCGAGCTGGATAGTAACGTTTAACAGGCCGGGTTCAAGTTCAGGAAATACCCGACCCGGAACAAGATCTTGGATCCACGACTGCATTTCTTCTTCCCTAAAACCCTACTCATCATCACTTACAACTCTTGCTTCCTTCGTGTAGCTCCTTCAATGTCGAATTGAAAATTTTCAGAAAAATTGCCTTTCTTCAAAAGAAGATTCCATTTCCTGTAATGGCTTTCATTTCCAGATCTAAACCCTATCAATCAAAAGCTAGGGTTTATCTCTCGCTTCCCAGATCGTCTTTCTTCTCACTCCCTCGTTTATTCAGCTCAATCGAAGAAACCCAAACTTCAGGAGATGCAAAACCAGAAACCCAATCTCCAGATGCAAAACCCGAGACGAAGAATCTGGGTTCTACGGAGACGAGGCCACTCAGAGAGAGATTCCAACGAGGTAAGCGTCAAAACCATGAAAAGCTAGAGGATACAATTTGTAGAATGATGGATAATCGTGCTTGGACGACCCGTTTACAAAACTCGATCCGAGATCTTGTACCTGAATGGGATCATTCTTTAGTGTATAATGTCTTGCACGGTGCTAAGAAACTTGAGCACGCTCTTCAGTTTTTCCGGTGGACGGAGAGATCTGGTTTGATTCGTCATGATAGAGATACTCATATGAAAATGATTAAGATGCTTGGAGAAGTTCAGAAGCTTAATCATGCTCGGTGTATTTTATTGGATATGCCTGAAAAAGGTGTTCCTTGGGATGAGGATATGTTTGTGGTGCTTATTGAGAGTTATGGCAAAGCTGGTATTGTTCAAGAGTCTGTTAAAATCTTTCAGAAGATGAAGGATTTGGGTGTGGAGAGGACTATTAAGTCGTATAATACTTTGTTTAAGGTGATTTTGAGGCGTGGTCGGTATATGATGGCGAAACGGTATTTCAATAAGATGGTTAGTGAGGGTGTTGAGCCTACTAGGCATACTTATAATCTAATGCTTTGGGGGTTCTTTTTGTCTTTGAGGTTAGAGACTGCTTTGAGGTTTTTTGAGGATATGAAAACTCGAGGGATCTCGCCGGATGCTGTTACTTACAATACTATGATCAATGGGTACTGTCGGTTTAAGAAGATGGATGAGGCTGAGAAGTTATTTGTGGAGATGAAAGGGAATAACATTGAGCCTAGTGTTGTGAGTTACACAACGATGATTAAAGGGTATCTTTCAGTTGACCGAGTTGATGATGGGTTGAGAATCTTTGAGGAGATGAGATCTTTGGGTATTGAGCCCAATGCTACGACGTATTCGACATTGTTGCCAGGTCTGTGTGATGCAGGGAAAATGGTGGAGGCTAAGAATATCTTGAAGAGTATGATGGCGAAACACATTGCTCCAAAAGATAACTCGATCTTCCTTAAGCTTTTGGTTTCTCAGAGCAAAGCAGGGGATATGGCTGCCGCCACTGAGGTGCTCAAAGCCATGGCTACACTGAACGTTCCAGCAGAAGCAGGACACTATGGGGTCTTGATTGAGAATCAATGCAAGGCTAGTGCATACAATCGTGCTATCAAGCTTTTAGATACGCTTATTGAGAAAGAAATCATTTTGAGGCATCAGGATACTCTGGAAATGGAGCCCAGCGCATACAACCCGATCATCGAGTATTTGTGCAACAATGGCCAAACGGCGAAAGCAGAAGTGCTTTTCAGGCAGCTGATGAAAAGAGGTGTCCAAGACCAAGATGCCTTAAACAATCTGATTCGTGGTCATGCAAAGGAAGGAAATCCGGATTCTAGTTACGAGATTCTGAAGATTATGTCAAGGAGAGGTGTCCCTAGAGAATCAAACGCATATGAACTGCTCATCAAGAGCTACATGAGCAAAGGTGAGCCTGGAGACGCGAAAACCGCACTGGACAGCATGGTCGAAGACGGGCATGTCCCAGATTCAGCACTTTTCAGGTCCGTAATTGAGAGTTTGTTTGAGGATGGTAGGGTGCAGACTGCAAGCCGTGTGATGATGATTATGATAGATAAAAACGTTGGTATCGAAGAAAACATGGATTTGATTGCTAAGATCTTGGAAGCTCTCTTAATGAGAGGACACGTAGAAGAAGCCCTGGGACGTATAGATCTTCTGAACCAAAACGGACACACAGCTGATCTGGACAGCCTCTTATCTGTCTTAAGCGAGAAAGGGAAGACGATTGCAGCATTGAAGCTGTTAGATTTTGGGTTAGAGAGGGATCTCAGCTTAGAGTTTTCGAGCTACGACAAAGTGTTGGATGCGCTTTTAGGAGCCGGGAAGACTCTGAATGCGTACTCGGTTCTGTGTAAGATCATGGAGAAAGGAAGTTCAACAGATTGGAAGAGCTCTGATGAACTGATCAAGAGCTTGAACCAAGAAGGAAACACAAAGCAAGCTGATGTTCTTTCTAGAATGATCAAGAAGGGACAAGGAATCAAGAAACAAAACACTGCTTCTCTATAGAAACTTCTTAACAAGTGATTCTTTCTCCTTTCATTGTTGGTTCAATTATCTTTCTCCAAATAAATCCTTTTTGAAACTTGTTTTGAAGGACTCGTTTGTATGATCACTCTTGTGTTTTTTTTTTTTGGCAGGAATTGTATCGTTTTCTGATTTAGTTTTTTTTTTAACCACTTGAAAATGTTAAATACGTAAAAGATATTTCTCGAAGAGAGTTTTCACTTTTTTTTTTGGCTGGAACAAGAGTTGCATCTTCTTCCATTGGCTTTTAGCAAAATATCCCTCTTATCTTCTCATAGATTTTTTTGCCTTACCACGAGACGTGCCATCTCCACTGTCCATCCATAATTCGACGGTCCAGATCTTATCTCATCCATCATCACACTTCATATTATGACAAGTAGTTTAGTAGACTGTCCCAATTAAACCACAACCAAACACAACTAATTTAAGTGAGAAAAAAGCACATATTCTACTTATCACAAAAATTATTTGGAAAAGTAAATACAAAAATCACACTAAAATATCAAACGAAATAATTTGTAACATGTAGTATTAAACTTTTTTATATAGATAAAAAAAAGGGGGAATTAGGTGAATAACTAAAACTGATAAATTAATTAAGAAACTAACACACTAATATTGAAAATATAGTAACTAACCATAGAGGGTAGTATAATGACCAAAATAGCCATTGTAGTGGTGGCTAGAGGGGAGGTGGCATGTGGTGGTGGTCGACGGTGGTGGTGGCTGGCGGTGGAGGCGGTGGCCAGCAGCGGTGGTGGTGGTGGTGGCCGGCGGAGGTTGGTGGTAGTAGTAGCCGGGGTGGTGGTGGTGGTGGTGGCCGGCGGAGGTTGGTGGTAGTAGTAGCCGGGGTGGTGGTGGTGGTGGTGGCCGGCAGCGGTGGTGGTGGCGGTGGAGGCGGTGGCCAGCAGCGGTGGTGGTGGTGGTGGCCGGCGGAGGTTGGTGGTAGTAGTAGCCGGGGTGGTGGTGGTGGTGGTGGCCGGCGGAGGTTGGTGGTAGTAGTAGCCGGGGTGGTGGTGGTGGTGGTGGCCGGCAGCGGTGGTGGTGGCCAGCAGCGGTGGTGGTGGTGGCCGGTGGAGGTTGGTGGTAGTGGTAGCCGGGGTGGTAGTGGTAGCCGGGGTGGTGGTGGCCAGCGGAGGTCGGGGGTGGTGGTGGCCAGCGGAGGTCGGTGGTGGTGGTAGCCGGGGTGGTGGCCGACGGTGGTGGTTCTCGGTGGTGGCCGACGGTGGCTGGAGATAGAGGTAGAGATGGTGGTTGGTGATGGTGGGGTTGTAGGAAAAAGAAGGGGTATTTTGGTATATATTATAGTAAATATATAGAATATCACTTCACATTTTTTTTTTGGTTAGTTTGTTAATTTAAGTTTTATTTTTGGTTATACATTCCAATTCCCCTAAAAAAAAAACGAAAAATAAAACGAAATAAACACAATTAATTGCTTTGTTACAACTTTTTTTAGTGAGTACATTTCAAAGATAAATCATTTTTATATATGTTCCTGAATTTTGAGAAAATAAATTTCCTACAAAGAAATCAGAAAGTTTGAGGTAAAATTACAAAATAAAATTAGTTTTGAGATATTTATGCAAGAGCTTAATATATTTTTCATTTGCCCATAAATATCAAACACTCACCATCTTATCTCCACTCTCAAATCTTCTTCTTCACCAAAAACCCCTAGAAACCTTATCTCTTCTCTTCCCATGGCTGCTTCAGCTTCTTCTCTCGCTCTCTCTTCCTTCAACCCTAAATCTCTTCCTTTCGGCGTTTCCAGACCAGCCTCCGTTTCTCTCTTACCTCCTTCCCTCTCCTTTAAACTCAATTCCGACTCCGTTTCCTTCTCCATCGCCGCCAAATGGAACTCTCCCGCTTCTCGCTTCGTCCGTAACGTTGCAATTACCTCAGAGTTCGAGGTGGAAGAAGACGGTTTCGCTGATAACGCAGCGCCACAAGAGCAATCTTTCTCTGCTGACCTCAAACTCTTCGTTGGTAACCTTCCCTTCAACGTTGACAGTGCTCAGCTCGCTCAGCTCTTTGAGAGTGCCGGAAATGTTGAGATGGTTGAGGTATGAATTTAGGGTTTTTATCGAATTTTTGAGATATAGAAGAAAGTACTGTTCTTTAGGGTTTCTATTGATAATTGATTCCAAGACGAAAATGCCTTAATCTTGTGTTGTAATCGTTTTTGATTCTTTGTCTTGTTAGGTGATATATGACAAAGTGACAGGAAGAAGCAGAGGTTTTGGATTCGTGACTATGTCATCAGTTTCTGAAGTTGAGGCAGCTGCTAATCAGTTTAATGGATATGTAAGAAGATACTTCTTTGCCTTACTTTAATCTTCGATTGTTGAATATGAATTTTTTGAGGAATTGCTTTATCTTATCTTGTTGGTATTCGTTTGTGTTTTGGTGTATACTTATTGTGGTTATGTTGCTCTATGTTTCTGTGATAAGCTGTGTTTTAGTGTTGTGGAAATTATAACTTTTTCTTAGGTGAATGCAATCTTCAAACTTGTGGCTTCTAAAGATAAAACTTGGACCTCTGTGTTGTTGTTCTTATTGCATAAGATTCTTGTTGCTTTAGTTAAACATTTTGATGTGATTTTTGTAGGAGTTGGATGGTAGACCTTTGAGAGTTAATGCTGGTCCTCCTCCACCAAAGAGAGAAGATGGTTTCTCCAGAGGACCTAGAAGCAGCTTTGGAAGCTCTGGTTCTGGATATGGAGGAGGTGGTGGTTCTGGTGCTGGTTCAGGAAACCGGGTTTATGTTGGCAACCTTTCTTGGGGAGTTGATGACATGGCTCTTGAGAGTTTGTTCGCGGAGCAAGGAAAGGTTGTTGAGGCCAGAGTCATCTACGACAGGGACAGTGGTCGATCCAAGGGTTTTGGGTTTGTGACATACAACTCTTCTCAAGAGGTCCAAAATGCCATCAATTCCTTGAATGGTGCTGTAAGTATCTTTTACTCCTACTCGTACCAATAAACACTTCCATTGTGATCAAATCAAACAATTCTTGATATACTTTTACTTGTGGCCTATAGGATTTGGACGGCAGACAAATTAGAGTCTCGGAAGCTGAGGCTAGGCCTCCAAGGCGCCAATTTTGAGCACCAATCTATGACTTCCCATTCTCAAAAACGCATATTCTGGAGGGTATGATATTAACCATTGTACTTATAGATTGGCTTTTTCGCACTAACTTCTTGATGATTGATGTATCGAGTTGTGAAATTGTAACAGGCGCTTCGAAGCAAAGAGGGTTTGTGAGATGATGGCAGTTTCAGACGGTACTAAGCTCTTAGCTTCGCCTATGTTTGTTGCCTTGGATGTACGAAGGTCGTAAAGGAATGGTCTTTTATTTTTTTTGAGAAACGTATAATTAAGATAAAACCGGAGAGACCATGTTCTTGTCTGTCTGAATGCTGCCATTGACTGCTTCGCTTTGGTTTGATTCAATTTTTCTCTCTATTTCGTGGTCTCATAATGCTTCTCTGTTTATGTTTTTTTTTATCCTCTACGCTGATGAATATGAAACACACTTAAAAACGGGTAAAACATAAACACCTAAAATCATGCAATATTGCAATGTCTAAAACCGAACCAATACGATTTGAGGTGGAATGAACAAGTAAGTATCTTCAGATTGAGCCGTATAAGTAATATCAGCTGGTTCCAATTTGGGCTCTCACAAAGCCCAAATGTTGTAATGGATCTAATATCAAAATTTCCCGATTTTGGATATAGAGAATGGGCTTTTTAGCATTTGATCCATTTAGGTGTAGACCATTGAGTTCAATTGGTCTGTCCTATGAATTTTTGTATTCAGAGTTATGACTTAAGATGCTGTTTACATGGAACATCACAATTGTAGTACATGTTGTTCGTTTGGCCAAAACAGTATATGAGTTAGATACTACGTGTGGCTGGCTACAAAGAGTTTTGCATTAAAAGAATTTGAATATTTAAGTGAGGAGCTGGTTTCTTCAACCAAATTAATCAATCGAAACACCGAAATATCTTCACAAAATCACTCAAAATTCTGAAGCTAAAATTTTCAAAACATTGAAATGTCTTGGAAATTCATATAACTATTTTTTTTTTAATTCATATACATGTCTTACTTTTATGTAATTAATTCACAATTTGACGTCAAAATAGAGACTTTATACGTGTAGTAATTTTTTTTTGTAGAAACGTGAAAGATACACTTTGGAAGTAGTTTATGAATTATGATGATGAAGGGCATCACTTGCTTCCATTGCCGATAGACGTACGTAGTTCTGTTGGTAATGATGCTACCCACAAAACGTTAATTTCGTCCCAACCTTGTTCAATAAGTACAAAATCTCTTACAACAAAAAACAAATTTTGTATATATATATATATATATGTGTGTGTGTGTGTCTATATACATTGTTTACTTTGAATCAGTTAAAAGGATAGTTTTTACAAAGCTCCCAATGATCATAGACTATCGGTCTTGCTTGGACACCTTAGCATGAAACATTTACGTAGGATTCCTACTTTATGGGGCTCCACTTAAAAGAAATTACTCATTGGTTTCATGAAAGTTAAAATATTTTTTGTTTAATAATAAGAAGGCAAAGAAAGTGAGATTTTTTATATTGTAATAGTAAACTTTGATAAATTAAGGAAAGATGTCGTGAGATATTTATATAAAAGAATTGAGCCAAAGGAATTAAAACTTTAAAAGTAATGGAAATATTAAGTTGAAATGTGTGTTTATAGATGACGCCAAACGGTTTATTTTCATTGAATTCTTTGTTACTTTTTTTGTGTGTTCTACCATTATTTTCAGTTTTATATATGCATGGTTCTACTTCGTTTTGTGTTTCGTATGGAATCTTGACTATCTCATAAGTGGCCCTGAGGATTATTTTCAGTTTTATTCAAATTGAAGCATCAAGCTACAAAGGAGTTGAACTCCTATAAGGCTATAACAACCGAAAGCCCAAATAAAAGAAAGCAAATATATTGAGTTTATATATATATTGAGTTTCTAAACATGTAGACACATCTCTAATATATATATATATTTTCATCAGATCTCTAATAGTATTATATAAAGAAGATTTCTCTTGTCTATAATTTGAAGGAAAATATTGACAACTTCTATAATAAAAAGAAACAAATACTCTAGTAATGGGGAATTTCGTAAAATGTTTCTATCTGTAAGAAAAATATGAAGTAATCAGGGTTGAATATGCAAAGCCGTGAGTTATGGGCCACAGGTTTGTAACTGGTCAGCGCAAGTAGACCCTCTTTGACTTGTAAACCTCATTCATTGGACATGAACATGTTCAATGTTTGCTCCTTTGCTGAATCCTATAAAATTCATTATCCATTACAAGACATTTTTCACCATATATTTGTAGCAAACTGATGTCGATGCTTTTCTAAATATTTGTCGATATTTCTTATCAATCAGTTTCCATGTCTAAAAGAACATATTCTACATGTATCTTTTAACTAATTCAATATATCTTTTGTAGGCATTGTATCTTTCAGAACAAGGACTTGACATGTAATATTAGGAATCAATATTTTCGATCTTTGACTGATTATATAACACGATTTAATCTGTCAAAGGAAACTTTATTTAAAATATGTGGTTCAAAAAAAAAACTGTGATTCACATGGTGTATATAGGTCCAACGACTAAACATTTTGAATTGTAGGCGCTCAATATGAACATCTTAAGTTTTAAAAGAAAAATAAATAAAATGTAAAAACAAATGGGGTATAGAGACGGCCGAAAGGTTGAGGAAATTGAAATGAATGTAAGATAATGTTCCAAAAACAAAGGACAAAATTAAATCTCCAAAACATTTACAAAAAAAAAAGACAAATGAATGTCCTTTTTGCTTCTTCTCCATCATACTTCCACCACTCTTCTTGCCTACAAATTAGTTTCTTTCTTTCTTTTTTTTTTTCTTTTTTTTTTTTTTTTTTTTTTTTTTTTTTTTTTTTTTTTTTGAATAATACGTTTTTATTGAAAATAACACCGATTGTTACAGGACTGACCTTACGTTACGCACAAGACAAACAGAGAAGCTTATAGCACGAGAGATACATGATCATGATGAATAGAGAGGAAAAATATCAGTAGCTAAATATGCTGGAAGTTTGCAAACCAGAGATATAGATAAGTCTCATGTGTGGAGTTTGATGTCATGATGGAAGTTTTGTCCAAACCAGCTAGACGTCGTCGTAATAGAAGCTGGAGTTCACTCTTTAGTTGAGTTTCAGATTGAAATATGGCAGAGTGTAGCCTTGAGTTGCGTTCTCTCCATATGAAATATATCAAAGCATGGAACACTAGCTTACAAATGGCATTCAGTTTCCTATTTGTGGTAGGCTTCTTGATCCAATTTAAAAAAGTAGTAAAAAGTGGTGTAGGCTGAGGGACAAAGTGAGCAAAGAGATCCATCCATATAGCTTTGGAGTAGCTGCATAGAAAAAAGAGGTGATCCCTTGATTCGTCTCCAGAGTTGCAGAGAAGACAAGAAGCTGGGACAGGAAGGTTCCATCTCCTTAATCTATCTCTAGTCGTTAGGCGATCTTGGACCGTTAGCCAAGTAATAAAAGCGAGCTTTGGGATTTTTTCCTTGAACCATACCTGTGAATGCCAGGGCACCGGAGGACCAAGAGGATGCAAATGCCTCCAAGTTTTTGCTGAAGAGAAGGTTCCTTGAGTTTGATCAACTGACGTTTTCCAAAAGAAGAGGTCCTCTCCATCCTGAAAGGTGGGCGGTTGATGAGTAAGTAGGCAATTTCGGAGAAGAATTACTAACGGATGTCTCCCTCTTGGTAAAGACCAGACGCCATTATAAGCTGCGTCAAAGAATTTGCAGAGAATGCCAATTCCTGTGACACGAGGTCCAGCAGCACCAACTACATCAATAAGAGGACCAATTCCAGTCCAATTATCATACCAAAAGAGAGCGTCCCGACCAGAAACAACATCGCAGTAAATAAAAGGTCTAGCTAAATCCCGGAGCTTCACAAGTTGCCGCCATAACCAACTCCCAGAGGAACGGAAATCAGCCACCCATATATACATCGGAAATATTAATACTCATATATATTCATCGGAAATTGCCCTTTTCTATCTCGTAAAATATATATATATATATGGTCGCGCTAATCATACTATTTTCACTATATATGTTCAAGAGATCAATAATTACTATTAAAAAAAAAACATTGTACTTAATATTGACATTATCTCGTCAATATCTTGAAAACATGTTTAAGTTTAACTTAAGTTTTTTGAATATGAACTGTTGAGTAGTGGAGAATATGTATGCCTGGTGTGGTATGTTAAGTATGTGGGAGAATATGGTAAACAAAAATGTTTCAATTGTTGAACCCAAAAAAAAATAGTTTCAATAAAAGCATGGCTCTTTCCAATTAATACGATTGGACTGATTCTTTGTAACAAAAACGGTTTGATTGATGAGAAGTTGTAAGTAATAATTTAGTGCTAAGTGAAAATGTGAAAGAGAGATTTGACTTTTAAGCAACGGTATTAACTGTCCGACACTTTATGATAACTACTAAACAACGGATTTGTCCCTTTCTGACCTTTGACTGGTCCCTTTTGACCATTTAAAATCCATGTTCTTCCCTTTTCTTTCCTGTTTTGTTGTCTCTCTTTTTTTTTTTTTTTTACTTTCTAATTCCTTAATTTGTGGATTTAGCGTCGGTCCATAGGGAAAAAAACAAGTTTGGGGGTTCTATTTTCGGTTCAAGGCGGTAAATATTTTTGTAAAAGCCATAATTCGAAAATATTGTCGGAATCATATCAACCTTTTTATGTTTACGCATTCATTTTGACGTCTTGTGAATTCAAGAATTTTACCCGGGTAATCATAGTTTCCTATAGAATTTTACCTAGGGGTGTCCTTTCAAAAGATTTTAAATTCTTAAAAGAATATTTAAATATTTAAATTAAAGTTAGCATTTCAGAAATATTTGAACTTCCAAGTTTACCTTTTAACGAATCAAACAGTATCCTCAAATGATATTCATGAATATACATATATATACGACATTAGATGTCTAGATCATACACAAGAATAAACGATACATGCATGCACGCCGGAATATAGAAGTCGACAAAAATGCCGATACTCATACACAGAGCCGTAGCAACGATTATGAGGGCCGCCCGCGAGGAAAAAAAAAAGGGCCGCTCTAGAAAAGTGTATACTTATAAAAAAATTTAACCATAAAAAAAAAACAAAAAACAAAAAAAAACCTTCTCTCACGCTTCAGGTGATTCGAACTCATGACCTAAGATATGTGGTGTATGACATAATACCACTAGGCTACCAAAACACATTGGTATTTGAGGGCCGAAAATATTAATAACTTCTCGGAGGGCCGCAGCTCCCGCTTCTCTTGCTTCTATCCA